GCCATAAAGATTTAACAGGACTAGTCATATATGCTTGTGCATTTGCATTTAGGTTATTATAAGAGGTAGGATGCATACCTTTATGTTTTATAAAGATCCAGAGGATTATTTGATGCATAGCTTTTAATGGATTTTTCCTTCCTATAACTTTTTTATTTTTATGAACTAGATACTCAGATTATGCTCTTATTCCCAAAATATTAAGAGCTCTAGATGAGATAGATCAGTATAATAACATTAGAGTGGCTAACTTCTACGCACAGTTTGGACAAGAGTGGCATCTCGTGACAAACTTCTATTAGTAATTCATCATAAGTTAAAATTTACCTTTCACCCTTACGTCTAATTATTTGTAGGTTATAAGGATTGCCTTCACATATGATATGCCTTCGAGAGCCAAGGAAAAGTTGGCTTCAAAATAGCTAGGAATAGCCTTAATGGCAAAGTGCTTGATTTCTCAGTATTGGCACATCCTGGAACTCTCTCTTATATGTTAAAGTATATGTATGAAGAGTGTGATGATGGACTCTTGAGTAGTAAATTACACCCCTCATCGAGTTGTTCGTCAATTTGGATTTGATTAAGATGTTCTCTTGCTTATTACTTATTTGTTTGGTAATCTTAAGCAAACATGCACGCAGATTGAGGTAGGGAATCATAAAGGGGTCTATAAAGTGACCAAGTGATTCTTTTTCCTTGGTGTAAGTGAGTAGGTATACAAAGCAATCATTGATAGAGATATTGGAAGAGACCTCTGATCCAATGTAAGCTCTTTATTAATAATACCCAGCCCGTTTATGAGGGTCTTGATATAGAGAAAAGTCTTGCTATGGTCTATCTACCTTGTTATTGTAAGGTGGTAATAACAAGTCAGACCAAATTTGCTTGTTTAGAAAATATAGATGACACAAACCTTGGCGAAAAGAATGTACAAACGAATAAAACAGTGCAGCCCTCTAAGGTATGTGCAAGCTCCTTCTTTCACTCTTTTTTCTTCTTTCTCTTTTTTTTTTTTTTTCTTTCTTTGACATCAAGCTTACTAACAATGCCTTTTTTTTTTACTAAAATTTTTTTAGAATACAATTACTGTAATTTAAAAAGCAATGATAAATGTTCAAAAAAAAAAGGAAAAAAAAAAAACAAATTCACCGTGTTTCCTTTCTATTTTCTCTATTCTCTTAGTTTTTTTTTTTTTTTTTTTTTTTTTTAGGACTTCTAGAGTTTTATCCATTCACATATTATCTGTTATAATTCGATTCTTACTTTTTCTTGATTATAAATAGATATTAGCCAGCCAAGCTATCAATGTGCTTGTCAAAAAAATGAGTATTGAGAAATCAATTAAGAGAAGTGATTTGGTGGCCAAGCCAACTTGTGACTTCCATATTGAGCAAATGTACTTATAGAAAGCTACTAGAGCCTTTAATTCCAGATTTTAAAATTTTGATGAGTTCTCCTCAATTCCTTTGTAGAAAGCTGCTCCTAAAAAGGTGAAAGAAGCCTCACAGACTCTAACTCAATCAGATAAAAGTAAGGCCAATGTCATACCATCTCAAACAAGTGTAAGCAAGGGTAAACCAAATGGTGGTTGGGCTCAACACCTCAGCCAGCCCACCTGTAGTAAAACGAGCAAACATGCAGCCTGCTGATTGGAGTTCCGTTTTAAAAGTAATGTTTGATCTTTGTATGACAATCAAAAATATAGTTTTGTTCACTAGCACTTTAATCAAACACAAAACTATAATAGACTTTAATTGTGATGCCATCCGAGAAATATGGGGAGAGAAAAAGCCTTAAAGCAATCACATTGCTTAAAACAAAACACTTGACGAGACAATTGACTTTGGCAAACAATGAAGACAATGAGCTTAAAGATGATGAAAACATAAACCTAAGTAAAGAGGCAGTCAATCTCAAGGAACAATCAACTATGAGTGTGGATGTTGAAGAGAGTGAAAGTGAAGAATATGAAGAGGTTGTAGATTATAGAGACGGTGATGACGATCTAGTTCACAGAGTCATTATATTAGTTGATAAGCATAGCCTTCTTGTCTTAACCCCTTCTCCTCTTAGGATTGTCTTTTCTTAACCCCTTCTCCTTTTAAGGATGGAAATCTTAGCATGAGACTCATCGTAAAACTTGGTCTCTCTACCGCGACTGTTATTTTTATTAAGGACATCTCAAATGCTAATGGCGACGTAGTCACACAATGCGTGATTCCTAAGCCCCCTTAGTTCCTTCCCAGTGGAGTCATCAAAATATGTGCGAGGGTTCTTGAGAATTGATAGACGACTAGTAGGTAGACTAGTTAAAATATAAAGAGTTAGTGTTGTGACTTATACAAATAACAATCAATCAACTAAATAGAAATGATGAAAAATAGTGAGAGACATAAAAAGAGAAACAGACAGTTCTAATAAAATACAATTCAATTGGTTGGCAAGTGGATTGTCAAAATTCAAATATATAAAATTTTAACTCGCTGTCTAGTGTGTGAATAGAAAAGTTTTGAGAGAGAGAGAGAGAGAATTTAGGGTTTTGTTTTCGCTACAAATCCAAAAGTTTTACCCTCATAGTGATGTAAGGTTAGTATTTATAGTGAAAAAAGAGAATAGTCATTGACTATTAAAAATGTGTCACGTTATCTAAGTTTGGACAGATCAAATTTAAATTGAAAAAATTAAATTTTTTATAGACTACACTCGTTTCAACTTCCTAGCAAGTGCTAAATAAAATAATAATTAGGCCTTCTTGTAGCGGATTTTATTCCAACCCCACCAAGTCAATTTTATATATATATATTTCAATTAACAAGACATGAATAATAGTCCCGCTAGAATACTAATGTTCATCCTCGCAATTCAAGACTTTATGTTGAACGAGGCCCATCCTCATTTCAATTTATTTGTGATGTAATTTAGATTCATGTCAAAACCAATAAGCATTATAATATCGATTAACACATAATAAAAATTAACTAAGTTAATTAATTTTTAGAAAAAATTCAACATATATATAAACTACTGCAACTTAGTTTGTTGTTGATGTTAGAAGTAGAGAGAGAGAGGAATTAATCTAACCACCTCAATAAAAATGAACAATTAATTTTGACCAATTCTATTATATAAGATATAAATAATTTTTATTTTTAATATTTGCTAAGAATTGAATCCATTTTTTTTTTTAATAGATGTCAAAAGTCACTAACAATGAACTAGAGACCCACTCATCCTCAATTATGTCTTTAAAATATAACCTAGAGACAAATGCCTACGTAAATTCATAGTTTGGAGCTCCATCCTCTTTCAAGACCAATAAATTAAGTTTTTAGACTTTTATATTAAGAGGGTAATTTTATTGTATTTTCAAGCGGACGCGTATCCTCATACATCCATAAACATCATTTAAATGCAATTTAATAACCTTTATTATATATTTGATTGAGTTATAAATTGTTTAACTGAAAAACACATGCAATTATTCCTTGATAATGGTGACAATTTGTATGCAAACTACCTATTGATGCAGCGGAAAAATGAAAAGGACGCCAAGGCATGACATAATTGTCCAATCCATTGGAAGAAAAACTAAAAAGGTAGCAAATTGTGTTTGCCTTTGTCGTTGTCCTTAATTTATGGTGGGGAATCAAGAGATAGGACATAATATATATATCGCATTTGGACAGGCAGGCATCCACTAAGCTTTAAACCCACAAGACTACAAAAGGAAAACCATTGAAGATATTAGGATTCCATGCATGTGTGTATTGTCACCAGATATGTACTACAAAAGCCTCCACCGCTAGAGCCTTCAATTCGAAATTTTAATAAACAAGTTAGAAACCACCTTTAGTTTTGTGTATGGTTAAAAATGAAGTAAAATGTACTTTTAATTAACGATCATCACTTCTTCTTTTCTTTTCTTTTCTTTTCTTTTTTTTTTTTAAGAAATAGTTTGGTATCATTTCTGTATTATGTTTTATGTTTTAAAAAAAAAAATTTTGGAAACAGAAATAAAAATATTTATTTGTTTTTGTTTTTTGTTTTCAAAAATAAATATATCAAAACCGATTTTTCAAATTTTTGAAAATCAAACAAAATGCTTTTTAAAAATTATATAAATAGTTGTTGGTTTCTTTTTTTTTTAAAAAAAAAAAATTTAAAAAACGGAACCGAAAATGATACCAAATACATGGTGTTAAAAGTCCTCTTCCAAAGCCAGATTTTAAATCCAAGTTGTTGTCCATTTGCTATCTCTCATAAAAATAAAAATAAAAAACTTCGATGACTTATTTAGAAATCTTATCATGTTTTATTTATATCCAGCCAACTTATCCTTTCTTTCTTTTTTTCCCAGAAATATTTCATGTTATTTACTTAATAAATCAACCTTCTCAATAAAAACAAATGACGTCTAAGAACTTCGTTGAATAATTTTAATTACTTTATGTAAGTGAGAATTTATAATTGCAAAATTGGAATTTGAGAAAGTTCTCCAATTGACCTTGAAACAAGTGCTTTTGGCTGTGAATTGCATCGAAAAGGTTCTGCAGTAACAATAGGGAAATGAGAGAGAAGAATAATTGCTTCAATTTTTCAAACTAATAATTGGAAGAATGATAGGAAAAAGGGCACAATAAAAGAAAAGAAAAGAAAAGGAAGTGATTCTATAGTGTAGAGTCTAGACAGGACCAGAATTTGTTCGGTACCAGTTGTTGTCTTTACCGTGGGTGGGATTCTGATAATGTCTACGCACGTCACAGTAATCCCGTACCATTGCCAACACATCACATGAAGTATTGCTTTCGGCAAATAAAAAATGGAATCATCCCCTGTGATCTTATTATTAACCACCACACATCCTTCCATGGCTATGAGAATCTTTCTTTCACCAACGGCTTTATAGCAGCACCAGCAGCAACATCAACAACGACGACAACGACAATCTTTTCTTCCGCGAAATACAGTTGCTGAGGTTGTTGTTGTTGTTGCAGTTGTTGATGGGCAAGAAACAGCACCTGGATTGGACCTCAAGATCCATTTCATCCCCTGCAAGTGAAAGAGTCTCGCTTTTGACTAAAGAGGTAATCTATTTATTTGTTTTTTTTTCTTTTCCTTTTCTTTGTTCTTTTTGTATTTTCTAACAGCACTTTTGGGTATTCGTTGAATCACTTGAATTTTACGTTTTTGCTTGGGTGGAAAACAAACCTGTATTGCTTCCTACATGCATGGGGAAGTTTTCTTCTTTTCTTCTTGGATGATAATAAAAACAACTAACTTTGGTTCTTGAAATCATTTAATTTAGTGTGGTTTTTCACTTTTTTTATTTTTAATTATTTATGAAGCTTCTCGTTTTCTTAGGGGGTTGGTGGGGGAATCTTATTTTTGATAGAGATGTGTTCTTATGAGGTTTATGACATGCTTGTAATTTGAAATGCTATACTTCTGTTTCATCTTGAATGCTTGTTTGTGTTTTTTGTTTTAATATTTTTCGTCTTGAAACTTTCAATTTCACCACCGAGATTGGTCTTGGTTCTAATTCGGATTATGGGGTTTTTTGATCTTTGTATGGATTTCTAATTTTTCCCGTAACCATTCATTTGGCATTTGAGAAAGAACAACTGAAGAAAACATAAATGGGAATTGGAATTGAAGTCTTCTGTTGTAGCCGATTGTTTGGGAATAAAACTAGCACATTAAACTGAAAGATGCATTTGATTCACTTTGATGTTATGTAGGCAAAGAGGAACGCAAATGAAGACCAGTCACCCGATGGTCCTGCATCTGACCTTGAGCTCGGAGGTGGAGCAGAGGTGATGGATTTTCGTGTTATTTCCTCATGCATTTATATTCTCTGCCTTTCATAGCTTTTTTGAGATTCTAATTGATGTTTATTTGGAAAATTCAGGCTGCAAATGTTGGATTTTGTCGAGTTTTTGCACTGGTGAGCTAAAAGTTGTTTCTGATTATTTCTTGGGCAGAATCGAAATGAAATGTGTTAATCCACTATCAATCTCATATTTTGCAGGCAAAACCTGATGCAGGGAAGTTGATAGTTGGCACCATTGCACTGTTGATAACCTCTACATCTAGTCTTCTGATCGTATGCTTCTTTCTCTTCCTATAGTTCTGTTTGTGTAATTGTAGCATTATATAAGCAATAAAAAGTTGCAAGTTCTAAGAACTTGAAAGAGAACTGTCCTTTTGATAATTTATAATAAACGACTAGTTCAAAAGTGAATTTTTACATATAACTTGGCTCCTTGTGCCTTTTAACATATTATGAGTTATGTTGCAGCCAAAATATGGTGGAATGATAATTGATATTGTGTCAAGAGATACAAAGACTCCTGAACAGCAATCAGCAGCTTTGGATGCTGTCAAGAACACCATATTAGCTATTGTGTTGATAGTTATAGTTGGGTACGACAAAGCTTTAACTTCTACATCACTTTATCATGTTTGATATGCAGTGTTATTTCTTGTAGAAGTTTGTTTTCACTTTTCGTTCTTACTTCATTGTAGTTTCGCTTGCTTCCACAACGACATAGTACGATCTTATTATGACACTGATTGGTATTTGATATGACTTGTTCTTTTTTTTTTTTTTTTTTTTGAGAATGACTTCTTCTTCCTTATATATCACTTAAATATATTTTCTTCTTCCCTTCTTTAAAATAAAGAATTTGATGATTGCAACAACTGTTCTTAAACATTTTGTTAGTTCCTAAGGTTTTCTACCAAACTTCCCAGCATGACTGCCATTCAAAAGATGTAATTGTCTCAGATTCAAAGCCTCCAAAGTTTGTTGTATCTGTTTGCTTCCAATTCAATGTTGCTATGAGACCATCAATTTGAAATGGATCCTTGGTTCTTAGGTGTTCCACTGTTGGAAAAATCAACGATAATTTACTCTAATTTACTACCCATAATGTGAGTTGTTTTAAAAACAATAACTGTAAGAGTTAGCTATCACAACAGCACTTAGAAGAGAAAATAAGAACACATGCACATAAGTTAGTGTAGGTCCTGTGGGTCATCATCGTCGTGTGTTATTAAGTAAATTAGTATGGTCCAAAGTGCTTGACATGCAGCAAGTTATTCCTTAGAAATGCATTTAGGGCAGATCCATGGTGAAAGTGTAAAACCAATAAGTCAATTGTTCGTGTATATTTTCCTCACATAGCCAGGTACGTTACTAATTGTTAAGATTTTAGGTATTTGGTAACTATGATGTTAGCCTGGAAGTTTGTAAGTGAAGCAAAACTCTAAAATTTCCATGCATACATGTTATGTAACTTGCCACTTCTGCTATCTAGAAGTTTTGATTTGGTCAAGATTCAAGTCTTTGATGTGCTAATCAAGCTCGTTTCATTTGGTTTCTCTAATTCTGAACACAGGGCATTATTTTTAATGTTTAATTCGTATTTAATTCCAAGGAAAATGTTAACTATGAGTGCCTCAGATTTTCTAAATTTCACAAAAAGTTAAAAGTGAAACCATAGTTATACTGATCTCATCTGAAACTCATGCTAATTTGTTTTCTGTGACATTTTTTTCCTTTTCCAATTCATGTTGACCTCTTCTCTTCTTGCTTTGGCTGCAATTAAATTTCTTTTAACTATTGCACTCTTTAATGTTGAATCTTTTACACCTCTATAAAATATCCCTGTGATTTTACAGCTGATAAATTTACTTTGTGACGGACACATTGTACTTATTCACAACATGCTAATCCTCATCTAGTTTTTTATTTTAGATAATTTAGATTTCTTAAAGAATTTACTAACCATACCTTTTCCATTTCACTTGTTTTAGCTCTCTGTGCACTGCACTTCGAGCATGGCTGTTTTCTTCTGCTAGTGAAAGGGTTGTAGCTCGTTTAAGAAAAGATTTATTCAGCCACCTTATCAATCAGGTGAGTTCCTTAGTTATTGAACCCACAAAAATTATGAATGGCTATGGCAACGTTTTTTATTATACTAGTTCATGCAATATGCTATATACATTTTGTTAAACTCTCACTTGCTCAAAAGTTTGAGTTTATAGGGAGAGGTATTTGTTATGTTTTGCTACTCCATATATGTCCTCTCTTTTATGGGAAATAAATGTAATGCTTGTGTGACTTCTCTTCTGTTACTCTTTTGAAAAGTGTACTATATATGCTTTATATTTGATGGTCGGTGATGCATCGAAATAAACTATTTTGAACCAATAGGATTTGATACCGTGTTAAAATCCAATCACTTTAAGAGCTTAAGCTTAAAACAGACATAGCAATCTTGATAGTTTATGATATTTCAAAAACCATGAATGATTTGTCAAAATATTAGAGAAATGGCTGTTATCAAGTGCAAAGGCTATGGCAGTCATTTGCAGATACCGATTTGCAAGATTCTGCTTTTTACATTTTCCTCATTAGCATCCAGTCATTCAGAAACCCTAACTTTTGACATGTTGCTACAACAATGGTTCAACAGGAAATAGCCTTCTATGATGTCACTCGGACAGGGGAACTTCTCAGCAGACTGTCAGAGGACACCCAGATCATAAAAAATGCTGCAACAACTAATCTTTCTGAGGCACTCCGTAATCTAACAACTGCCTTGATTGGTGTTTTCTTCATGTTTTCATCATCGTGGAAGCTAACATGTAGGTACTTCTTTATGTTGAAGCGTTTAGAATACTGTTATTTTATTTTTATTTTTTTATTTTTTTTAATCACAGTGGCATTGTTTATTGCATCTTAAATTTCCTCTTTAGTGTTGGCTTTGGCCATAGTACCAGTCATCTCAGTTGCTGTAAAAAAATTTGGGCGCTATCTTCGTGAACTTTCACATGCAACTCAAGCTGCAGCTGCTGTGGCTGCCTCAATAGCTGAGGTTTGTACAAATAAAGACTAATATTTTTACTTGTTATCCTATCTATTTATTTTTTCTCATTTATAAAACTGAAATCTTAGAATTTGTTAAAGCATTTAATATGAAAATGGTAATGTAAACAACAAAATTGGCCACAGTTAGGAAGGTTCTAAATCCCTTTCTTTCTTTTTCATTATGTTTCATGAAAAAAAAAAAAAAGATTTTATTTTTGGTGCACTGCCCCAGCTGGAAAATCTAGCCGTATAAGCCTCATCTGGGAAATATATGTCTAAAAAGAAAGTTGATTGTTGATATATTGCCTGGCAGAACCAGTTTGTGATGCTGGTGAAGGATTTTTTGAGTTGAAAAAACTTAGTGATATAATCCGGTAATGGGATTTCTTGTTCTCTCCTCCACTTGGGGTGATACCATTTATGAATGAAAAATAAATGCTAGTATGTCTTCTATTAATGTTGTGAATTCAGTTCAGGAGGTCTATTCTGTAATAAAATCATTTATGAGCTCATTGGTGAAAATTCCTGGTGTTCTTCTTCTTCCCTAAATTGATATTTTAATGAGTGAAACGCAGCTAGAGTTGTAGGACACTGATGAAATAGTCAATAATATTGGTTTTTAGGAATCTTTTGGGGCCATTCGAACAGTTAGATCTTTTGCTCAAGAAGAATATACAATGTCACATTATTCAGAAAAAGTTGATGAGGCACTGAAGCTGGGACTCAGACAAGCAGTGAGTCTCTCTCTCTCTCTCTCTCTCTCTCTCTCCACACATATAGAAATTTTTCTGAGCTTCTGAGTTTTCTGTTTTCTACCACAGAGGATAGTTGGTCTATTTTTTGGAGGAATAAATGCAGCATCCACATTATCTGTTATTGTAGTGGTAGTTTATGGAGCATACTTGACGATAATTGGCTGCATGACCACAGGCTCTCTTACATCCTTCATTCTTTACAGCCTCACAGGTACCCTTCGCGGTTCAACTGCCTGCATAGTTTATTTAATACTAACATAGCTCAACCACAAAATTTTGTTTCAATTAGAAAAAACCATCTGAAACCTATGGAAATTTACCCGAATGTCATAAACCACTTGCTAGATAAACTTGTCACAATATGAGCCTTATAATCAACTTTACAGGATTAAGGAAAATTGAATGTTTATGTAGATAGAAGAATCAATGCGATGCTATAAATTGTTCCTACATTGTTACTTTTATGCAACTCCATTATCATTCTGTTTGTGATGGTAAATCACCTTTTGCTTTATTTTAAACCAATGTTTAATGTGCAAGCTACCAATTTTTCAATTTCATTGAATCGCTCGGTAAGCTGTTTGCTTCCTAGAAAGCCTCAAACATTTTATAGATACTCATTTGTGGCCTATCTGTCTGCCTGCAGTTGGTTCCTCTGTATCTTCTTTGTCAGGACTATATACAACTGCAATGAAAGCTGCAGGGGCAAGTAGGAGAGTGTTTCAGCTCCTGGATCGTGTCTCAAGCATGCCAAAATCTGGAGACAAGTGCCCTACAAGGTTAGTTAATTCGTCAATCAATCTCTGTCCCCAAAAAACATGATCTTCAAGTCTGTTTTATTAATTGACTTCTCTCTAAGAATAGATCTTATGCACTCCTTAAGATTTGTATATTCCAAGGGATTCAGATTTTATGGCTTCTGTTGGAACATACTCCAGCCTAATATTTCTTTTCTTTTTGTCCGTTAAGATTCTATCCTATATTGAAATTTTATGGCTTCTGTGAACAGTGATCCAGATGGAGCTGTGGAATTAAATGATGTCTGGTTCGCTTATCCTTCTCGTCCTAGTCACATGGTACTTAAGGTAATAGTTTTCTTAATTATACAAATAGAGGTATTTTAACTATGATAAACTTTTAGACAAGAATCAACTTATCTTGCCCAGAATTGCTTTTATTTTCCTTCTCTTTGCAAGAATCAACAGCATGGATCCCGGCTGCTGGATTGGTCATGCAGACTCAGACTTTAGGTTCTGCTAGTTCCCTGGCAGAGCATGAAGTACATTTAGTTATATAAAATGAAATATAAGACATAAGACTTCAGTGACTACCTAGCCAACAAAGTTTAAGAACTATGTGGATTTACATGTATAGGATACTGACAACCGCTTAGACTGTGTTTTCTCAAGGGCACAACAAATATTTACCCTTCCTCAAGAGCAAATTTCACTGGAGTACAAGTGATTCTAGGACTTTCTTGGGGTTACAACTATTGGTTAGGAAGAATGTGGGAACTTTTTCATTTTTGAAGATACTTTCCTCATGCTCTTATTATTGTTCAAACTGTAGGGTATATCATTGAAGCTGAGTCCAGGCTCAAAAGTTGCCCTTGTTGGTCCAAGTGGTGGTGGCAAGGTAACATTAATATCGTTCCTGATTTTATTTTATTTTTTTAAGTTTCTTTTCCTGCTTTTTTCTGCCACCACAAGTGCATAGTTCCAGCCATCATTTTGCCTTAAGGATGAGCACATCAACAGATACGAACTTCCATTACATGCTATATTTTTCTTCTTATCTATTTGTTTGTTTATTTGTTTTGTTTCTTTTGCAGACAACGATAGCAAACTTAATTCAAAGGTTCTATGACCCTCTCAAGGGAAGTATATTGTTAAATGGGGTTCCATTAGTGGAAATATCACACAAGTATCTTCACGAAAAGGTACTCTCTTTGAATATGTGTATGCCATGGTCATTTTGCTCTATGAACATCTCAATCAATGTAATAGAGTGCTTGACTCTCTCTCACAGACATTTTATTCTTAAAGGCCTGACCATAGGTATGCTGGTTTCTAGCAAAAGATTTAATCTAGTTGGAGATCCTTGGATTTCTTCATGACCAAGCTTAATGTTTTCTGTGATGAAGGTCAGTATAGTAAGCCAGGAGCCAGTTCTCTTCAACTGTTCTATTGAAGAGAATCTTGCCTATGGATTCAATGGCAAAGCTAGTTCTTCTGATATAGAAAATGTAGCTGTAAGTACTTACTCATTCTTTCTTCTTCATTTTTACCAGAAGCCAAGTTTTTTGTTTGCAGCATCATATGTGCTTATGAAGTTATGACACTGCAGAAAATGGCCAATGCCCATGAATTTATAGATAGATTTCCTGAAAAATATCAAACTGTTGTTGGTGAACGTGGGTTGAGGCTATCAGGAGGCCAGAAACAAAGAGTGGCAATTGCCAGAGCACTGTTGATGAATCCAAGAGTTTTGCTACTGGATGAAGCCACAAGTGCACTGGATGCTGAAAGTGAATACCTTGTTCAGGTGAGATTGTCATTTTCAACCAAATTACAGACTTGATGCTATATTACACAAAAGATTAATATAACAACGAATAAATAAAAGGGCAGAAATTTTTAAATCTTGATGCCCATTTGGTGACAATTTAATATCTTTTTGCACCTGGTTAAAGATTTTTGGTCAGTTTCTGACAATAAATTCTTTTGTATTGGATAGGATGCCATGGATTCTCTGATGCGGGGCAGGACTGTTCTTGTCATAGCACACAGGCTTTCAACTGTCAAAAGTGCAGATATTGTTGCTGTTATTTCTGACGGTCAGATAGCAGAAAGCGGTACCCATGAAGAACTTCTCAACAAGGATGGTATCTACACTGCACTAGTCAGGAGGCAACTACAAGAACCCAGAACTGAACTCTAGTTTTGGATAGGCAACAGAGTCCTTCAAACTAATGGAGTAGATCTGAAAGCTTGCCTTTTTTCTTCTACATTTTTGGATCTTTGCAGTTTGCATGTAACCTAGTTAATTCCTTGCCGCTTCTTTGGTGCAAAGTTTTTATAAGAGAATAGGTCTTGGCAGCTTTATCAATATAACTCAAATAAGTAGGTTGCCATGATGTGAAAAGCAGCGCTAAATGTCAAGAAACCAATAGTTCTGAATCACGCATGATTTCTTTCCTTATCAGCTTTTATCTTTTCTGAGACGATATGCCTCAAAATTTTCCAATCATTTCTACATTTACAATACATTTCAAAGGGTCTAATGGCACAAATTAATCTCGTTTTATTACAATTTGATAATTTTAAATTTTTATTATTAATTTGCATAATTTAAATTTTAAAATATTAATCTTTAGACAAATATTTTTGAAATTTAATCTTATCCCCTTCACTAACAATTTCAATAGAGGGAGAGGGAAAGAAATGAAGATTTTGTAAAACAAACAATGCCATTTAAAAATTTTGTTTGAAGAGATAAGAGGTCCCATGGAGAATGTGGTCAGAAATCCATAATAGAGTCCGATCACAACGATGGAATTGATTATCTTCATGCATAAAGATACTAGATTACCTAGTATAAAAGATTTCAAAATCATTACAAACCTTCTTTTTTTCTTTTTCTATTGCAATTTCTGGATTATTATATGATGATTTTGAAACTTTTCATATATATAGAAATAGAAACGAAATAGAGACTAGAAACCGAAAGGAATGGGAAGGGGCGCAACGGAAGTGCGTGGAATTCAAAAATTACAAAAACAAGATAATTGATGTGATCTCATCACATAACAAGTAGATATCTCATAGCCCATAACTCAAGAATCAGCTAAATGATATTTAGAACACACATGCAAGGTATAAAAACATCAAATTAAATTTATACCTCTTGAAGTGCAATACAAAGATTGTTCTCAGCCTATAGCTCTCCAATTGTGAAGCCTTTAGTCCATCCACACGAGCTTTACACGATTGAGCCTTCGGTCTATGACTTGGTTTGCTAGTATGATCTTGTCTCTCAAATGTCCGAATTAATCTTTAGCTCACCAAGTAATCTAGCTTGAAGTAGTCTAAGAGTTAATCCTTATTTTTGCTTAAGTCAAGTGTCTAACACTTTTAAGTGTTTAAAATGAGTGACCATACAAGACTATCTCCATTCTCTCATCTTTTCATTCATCTTTTTTTTCTCTACACTCTCCACTAACTTATGTTGGGTGGAGAGACTTGCATGCATAAGAGATAACAAGTGTCTTTCATAAAAACATTTGTCAATCATGCATGCATCCTTCATGACAAATGTTAATCATGCATGTTTTTAATTCTCTACACTCTCCACTAACTTATGTTGGATAGAGAGACTTGCATGCATAAGAGATAACAAGTGTTTTTCATAAAGACATTTGTCAATCATGCATGCATCCTTCATGACATATGTCATTTATGCATGAAACAATCAAGACACTTTTTGATTACACATGTAAATAATGCATGCATAAATTCTCTACACTTCCCACTAACATATCTTGAGTGGAGGAGTTTGCATGCATGCATTAATCAAAACACATAATCTTCCACTAAGATTATGTTAATCTTCTACTAATATTATTTTGATTAATTCATTAATTGACTTAAGCTCAATGATTTGTCATTTATATCTCATATAAATTAAGTCATATTTTAATTTACCCTTAGTTGGATTAAACTTCAGGACATGCTAGAGACCTTGTAAATTTAATTACAAGTTTAATCCTATTGTTTTTAATGAACTAATTAAACACTTTAATTAATAATTAAAACAATAATTGCTCATTCGATAAAATCTCTATTGTGTGTGACCTTCTAGGTTCATGTTAGCAATGGAAATATGATATCAACTTTTTGATATTATGAGAAAACTCTTTTCTTAATTCAAGGATCTTTCAATATGTCCTTAGTCCCATAAGTCATGAGTGATGCCTAACATTGCATATCATGACTACCTAATTAAAAATAAATGTATTAAACTGATTAATTACATTCCACGAAACCAATGATCATAATTATCGTACACTCGAATCCCTTCATTACAAGATCCCGATTTTAGCTAGGATTATGTTAATGTCAAACCCTAATTGCTTAAATGCTATGTCCTCATCTCGGTTTTATTTCTTGATATTATAAGACTTCTACTGGAAACTCTTTTCTAGTAAATCTTTCCGTCTCGGCTAGGAACTTTATTTATGAAGAATAATCGGATAGCATAGAATCTTATCCTTGTCTACTCAAGGTAATGAATTCCTCTTGGCTAAACACTTACCTCCTACACTTAACTAACTAAGGCTATCACACGCCATGTACCCATACATGACTAGTATAGATATATAAGTAGTAACAAACCCTAATCACCTATGTGTGAGATAAAAGTGTCACCTTAGGTCAAGAGATTATATGCACTATTATAATCTAGATGATGAATTATTAACAAGTAGTGAGAACTTCATGTTATCATAATCTAATATCACTGTTCAACCTACCCATGATAAGTGTCCACATATTTGTTACGATATCACATATTTTATAACATGAGACTCACTATCATAAACAAATAGAGATGATAATCTTCCGAATAATTGATGCCCAATTAGATATCCTATGATTATGAACTCTTTAATGTATTTTGTTCCAGAAATACCTATCATTCATATTCTAAACATCTTTTAGAATAAATATTCTAACAATATACTTAAGGACTATATTCAAAATAAAAAACAACTTTCATATAATGAATATATCTTTTATTGCCATATAGGGATTATTATTTACATATCACATAATATATACAGCTCTTGGGCATTACATATCTAACAGAAACGACATTTTAAAAACCTGAAATTGTCACGTTACAATTCCTCAAAAGCAATTTTGCCATAAAACTACTTAATTGCCCATAAACTACTTGAATCAAAAGCTGCAAACACAACGGAGCCAAACAGAGCCTCTATTAATCCCAACATACACAAAAATTCCACGTATTGATTGCTATTGGAACCGTAGGACCAGAAGTCAAGGGTTGCAAACATAGAAGTGTACAGAAAACGCTGAACTATTTAAATGCTGACCCATGTGAAGTGCGCCTTTAAGATCAACTAAGAACCTCAAACGACGAAAAAACTAACTTAAAATACCCTTACCATGGAATAAATTAAAAAAAAAATGTCTCAGAAAGTAGACATTGAATTTGTACATGATACATCCAATCCATCCATAAAATGACTTCGCATGGTAAATGATGAAACAACTAAAAGACCTCTCAAAATATTCCAAATAACTATCAATTTCCAGCTAAAGTAAATGACAACCAAAAGTACTCTATTCAAGCCCACAACAGTTTCAGATCCACCTCCAGTTAGGTTTGCCTTTTAATTTAATGGCCAAAGAAAAAGACCCCTAACGAATCATCAATCCCTGTGCTGCCTGTGAGCTATCTTCAGCAATCTTGTTAGCTTGGTTGGTGTTTATGACATTTGCAATATTACCCTGGAAAACATGCAACTTCACAATGTCAAAGTCCAATATGGATGAAACTAGCATAAAAATCTTGTAAATGTTTGACTTTATCAATAAAACTTCAGTTGCTTTTCCAGAACCAGCATTGGAGTTTTTATTTTTCTGGGAAAGAGTACAACACTTGTTCTTCCTTTGAAACATTTCAATACACAAAGTTGATCCTGAGACAATGCAGAAGGCATATTCCAGACGGTAAATGCAAGAATTAAAAGATTATTAATTATGAGAATTCTCACCCTCCATGTACCAAGCTTTGTCCTAAGAACCTGCCACTGTTGTTGCCCAAACACACGCTCTGTACAGGAACTGCACACATCACATCAAAATTAGATTCAAAGGGAACTCACTTTTACAAACCACAATAAATTATAAGCACCGTACTACTGCTATAATTAGAAGGGTGCAAAGACATGTCTCTGTGTGGTGAGAGAGAGAGAGAGAGAGAGAGAGAGACTACCTCACAAGCACAACTTGATTCATCTGGTCCATTTTACAGTCAATTAACTTAGCAGTTAATGCTTTCACTACCCATAATTCCACCTCATTATCATCAATCTGCAAGGACACTTAGAGCAATGTGAGTAATTACGACAATAGCAAATCCAGTAAAAGCAGAATGGCGGCCAGTTTACCCTAAGAGTATCTTTGATGAGGGAATATGGGATTTGACCAGATTCATGTGAAGCCAGATCCACCAATGATATCAACCGCATCTTCGCTATACAATCTTCATGAACAAGACCTATAAAAATTTAAAAGTATGAATGAAAATAAATTTACTTTTGATGATAACGTTTGTCTCAAGAAACTTTGAAGAAATATCAGTTCATCTAACAGCCAGAGACTTGATATACAAGTCAAATAGTAATACCGTAGCTTTTCAGTAGAGCAGAATTTGCAGCTTGAAACTCCAAATAAGCATCCAGCCTCTGAGTCAGGAAGATCTTCAGGAGCTGATATACCAATGCATATTTAGCATCCTTTTCCAACTGTGCAACAGCAGGCATATCTAGTAGATCACACTGCATATAACTAAACAAATCAATATCTGAACTCTCAAATTTAGACATAAGCTAGGCCAAGACAGGCAAAAAAGAATCTTAAAATTAAAAAATAAATTGATGCAAAAGCAACAATTTAGGAGCTGATATACTAAAGCATATTTAGAATCCTTTGCCAACTGTGCAACAGCAGGCATATCTAGTAGATCACACTGCATATAACTAAACAAATCAATATCTGAACTCCCAAATTTAGACATAAGCTAGGCCAAGACAGGCAAAAAAGAATCTTAAACAAAATTAAAAAATAAATTGATGCAAAAGCAACATGCCATTATTAGGGAAAAACAAAACAAAACAGATCCTCATAACATGATACATTAAAAGTATACAGTGTAGATGCCATAAATTCATTCAAAAAGGAAGCTAAAAAAGACAAGATATGGGAATCTGAAGTACAACTAGCGTTTTCAGTCTATTTGAAATTCCAATTCAAGATCTCTAATGTCCCTTTATACAATAACTTCATTAACATAATCAGGCGTATTTTCTAACATTTCTGACCAAGAAAGAAGTATACCTTTGAAAGCTAATTGCAAAGGTCAAGCGCAAATTCATTAATAAAGAAATTTTTTCTTGTATTTTTTCCTTCACATTGGACATATCAGGACAACATATAAAATGGTTTCTCATTCAAGCATCATGCAGGAAGATAGCAATGTAATAGATCTCCAAGATTAAGTACTACCTGAAATGTTTCAGGTGCCTTAACAAATTCAATAATAGTACGCGCAGCTTCCTCCTTGGCTTCACCCATTTTATAAGCATCCTCGCCAGAGAAAGTTGCTAAATACTTGGTCAAGAATTTGAAAGAATCCTTTACAGAGCTGGAACAACAAAAGAAGGGTGACACATGTTTGTGAATATAATTAAACAAGATAAATGCACAGTGGAACTTATAATAGATAATAAGGTAAGTTCACTTTCATTTGTTAAATATCTTCCTGTCATACCTCTTACTATCTTTTAGAGCATTAGCAACACTGAGAAAAAGCTCTCTCTCATCCTGAACTTCAAGATTCCACTCTTTCAAGAAGCTATCAATCTTTTTGCAAGAAGGAATGACATGTTCAGTGACTTTTCCAATCATAGCCAAATTTAGGGCCTTCATGTAAACATAGAACCGGCAGTATGCATTATCCAGTAGGTTGTACAGATTGAACAAGCTGTTAGAGGAAGCAGGTGTAAGATAGTGGCTTCAAAAAATTTATAAATTGTTATGGGATTCATCATGATATATTACATCTTTAGGCGCAACGCAGGCTTGTCACTTGGTTGTTGAATAATTTTTGCGCATATAATTTTGGTCATCTCAAGTTCTTCATCTGGACTTTTGGACTTGGTGACAAGATTGCAAATGACAGTGAAGATACACTCAAGATCTAGGGCAGAAGACAAGAAACAGCACATTACGCCTATGTAAGAATTATGACAAGTATCTGTAAATATAAAAATGCAAGATATATCATCTCTATGTCATTATTGCTTGACAAGGTCCACAATTTCTAAATAAGACATTCAGTTTCGATTTTGTTAATATGAGCAGTTTCACTCAAGAAAATGTTTCTCTAATATCCTCCTTTGAATGCCACAAAAAAAAAAAAAAAAAAAAAAAAAAAAAAAGGCCAGTAATTCAAAATTTAGTACAAAAATCCAAGTGTGAATAACCATATCACAACAAGAAGGTCAAAGAAATATATGGTTTAAGAAGATACCTATTACTATTTACTATTATTTTCTTCAAAAAACTCTACTTGTTAATCTGACTATTAACTGCAACTCTTATTGGAAATGGAGGGACAGATAAGAGGAGGATGACAGGTTATGGTTATTTGATAGAGGACTACTCTGGATAGCCAAGAAGTTGATGAACAGCCAAAACTAGCTGTAAATATCACAAACAAGTGCAGCAGCTTGCAATTACAAAACTATATGAATTACAGCAGCAAAGAGAGCTATGTGATTAAACATAAAATTTTATCAGCACAATTGCTGTTAAAACTTCAAATCCATATCATGAACCAAAATTCACAAGCATAGCAAACAACCAGTTTCAAGATACAACAAATTCAGAATTAAATCAGGCAAAAACCCTCCTCTGCTCCCCAAGTATCATTACCGAAACATGAACAACAAGCTGATAGTAAGAAAAATTGTAATCTCGTTGCATCTAATTCACAAATTATACATATCCACTTAACATATCGGAGCTATCTAACGCCTCGTTAACTACCATGAACTAAATTTTCATTTCGCTGCAAGAAAGAGAGGTACCTTTCTCGGAAACCTTGGAGTTTGAAAAAACAATGTCTGCAGAAGTTAACATTAAAGAAGTCAAATCCAACCACCGATTCATCACCATACATTCTTGCGCTTCCACGCACAGCCTGCTCACTTGTTGTTCCGCAACCTATTATACCAGTCCGACAGCAACACGAAATTTAAAAAGCATTGTCAGATATTAAAAAAAAAAGCAATATCCAAATTCCACTGTCCATAAAAATTAAGCAAGAAAATAAAACAGCAAAATTAATATTTCCAATCAGAAAAAAAAAAAAAAAAAGATAGAAAATCCACAAAGGATTGAACAGTGGGAAGATTTCAATAAAAAAGAAAAGGAAAAGAAAATAAGATTGATAAATTAAGGAGACATTTAAAAAAAAATTGATACCTCGGGACCGGCGTCGGACCATGAGAGTTCGGAGGTGAAACGTACGACGGAGAGGGCTGGATCCTCTTCGGACGTAGGGACCACGGTCGTCATTCTTGTTGTGCGGGTTATCCTCTCTTCTTCTGCAACGCCTTTTTTGGTGCTGAGAGAGTGAGAAGGAGGGAGAGAAACCCTAGCTTGGAGATGTCTTTGATAGGATGGAGGTAGTGGTGTCTCTGTAATTTCCTTTTTATGTTGTTTATGGACGTTTATTCGGGTCTATTAAAATACCATACGTTGCGTTTTGATAAGATAGTTTTGAGTAAATTACTTTCGGTCTCTTTATTTTGAATGTATATATAACTTAGACCTTTATTTATGTTCCACGCTATCGTCAATAAATAAATAAATAATAACAAGACATCTAATTTTTCAACCATTATGCATCAACCTTTAAGTATTTCGAAATTTTTTTTTAAATTAGCATATAGACTTTTTTTAATTTTTCGGTAGTATTTAATATTTTTTTATATTTTTATGGATTTTCCAATTTTTGGGATGTTTCAAGTTTTATGTTTCTAAGTTTTTAATTTTTTTTTAAATTTCTAGTTTTATTTAGTTTTTTTTTTTTTTAATTTGGATTCCATCACGAGTACTGATGTAGGTGAATCATGATGATGAAGCATATGATGGATTTATTATTATTATTATCATTTAAAGATATACAATGTTATTAACAAGAATAATGTAATGGCTTTTACCTCTTAAATTATAAAATAAATAAATAATATTGGGATGGGTTACTTTTCATGGCATTATTCACTTAGAGTCATATGTACTATTTATGTTATTTTTTATCTTTTTCGGACATTTATATGCTAATTTTACGTTGTATTTCATTTTAGTCTCTCATATTTCTAAAAGATATTTTTGGTTCCTAGATAACCAACCCACTCATGCTTGCCTTTTTTTTTTAGCAATTTATTTTAGTTTTTTTTTATTGAATTTGGTGTGAAAATTATAAAAAAATCAATTGTTACTTTTTTCGATTTTTCATACAAGCTAACGATTGTGAAATATATAAAATATGTTTTCGGATTATGTATATATATATATATATATATATATATATATATATATATATATATATATATATATATATACCAATAACCCCAAGGATCTAACTAATGGTGCAAGGTATGAAATGAAAGATGAATGAAATGCAGATTGATAAATAGGCGGCAGAGCCAACCACGAGAGATGCGAGATGAACAAAAATAACAAACAAAAGAACTAAATTAAAACATAAATAAAACTAAAGATAAATGGGCGGCGAGCCGACCACCGAACAAGATAAATAGAAAGGTACTTGGTGTTGTTAAACCAACGTTAGGCTCGATGATACCGAGTACCGTTATAGAGTCGAGTTATGGTATTCCAGTCGATATACCTTAAGAGAGAGAGATATATACATACATAAATGTAAGAAACTTTTATTTATTTACAAGAAAAGTACCTTACAATAGATGAACGAGGAGAAGTTTTCGGAACCTTGAAGGAACGGGATTACAAAGAGAAATCTTTCCTAGAGAATGTCCGAAAACATAGAGAGATAAAATTTGCAAAAATAAAATCCTGAATTACAAATGAAATGAGCTTTTTTTATATAGAGAAAGCTATCATGAATAGTAAAAATGTACGAGTAAAAGTAAATGGTAACTTGCTACGGTGTCTTCACGTGTTGATGAACGAGTAAGACGCCGAAAGCAATTTTGTCTTCTTGTGTCACGTGGGATGATCGGTGATGATCTTGTGAAAATTTTTATTACGGAGATAATTGTTTTGTCGACGGATAGGAAAATGCTTGGAATGTGTAAGTACAATGGTCGGTTCGGGTTTTGAAAATGCTAGGAAAAGGAATTTGGTGAGAAAGGTTATTGGGAAATTTTTAGTCCGTAGGATGGATAATTTCGAAAATACGACAAGTGGAATAGGCGAGTTCGGTTTTGTCCGGTGTTGAATGATGTTTGAATTTGGTCGATTCAAGGTGAATAAGAATGTCTTCATAGTAGTTTTGAGGTTTGGTAAGATCCCAAGGCTTGTAATGCCAACTAGGACCAAAATATTTTTCCGTAACCAAAGTCGGGTTTCCAAAATAGTATCCATCTTCAATGGTGAAAACATTTTGCAAAGATGGTTTCAAGAAATACGTGGATTCGAGTTTGTTGAAAGTTGGTTTTGTAGAAATAATTTGAGTATTTTGAGAAGAAGTAGTTATGGGTAAACCCAAAACTTTTGTTTTTAAATTAGCGATTCATTGGAAAAGGCCCCGTGTAGGGTATTCCAGGGGAATGCGAAGATCCCCGAGAAAGGGGTTTTGTAGAGGAAGAACCTTTCTCCGATTTTTGAACAACGAAGGAGAAGCCATACTTGAGATGTTTTGTAAGGCCGGAAGGAGTTCAGTCTGTCTTGACAGATTGTTGACCCAAATATCAATTGATTGGGTTTGGATAGGAGTTTCAAGTTCTTTTTGTGGAGTATCATTAGCCCAATAGATGATGGGTTTTGTGGAAAAGAAAGGGTTTGGGCTTTCTTGTTCGGCAAAAGGGGTTTTTCCTTTTATTTTTCTTGGCCATCAAGACTGTTTTGTAGAAATTCTCTAGTCAAGAAATGCGGAATATAATTCTGCTCTCCTTTAATGAATTCAATGTCAAAATCAAAAATACTAAGGATTGTTTGCCATCGGGCAAAATTTTGTTTTGAAGCAATGTTTTGAATATCCTTTTATAAAACTTCTTTAGCAGATTTACAATCAATGCGAAGAATGAATTTTTGATTGAGTAAATCACTTTGAAATTTTTGAATGCACATGACAATGCCGAGTATCTCTTTTTTGATAGTGGAATAATTCTTTTGACAATCATTTCAATAGGAAGACTGAACTGGACTATTTTTCTTGACCGGAAGACACTTGTTTTAATATCCCACCATAACCTAAGTCGGAGGCATCGGTTTCGACTATTTTAGGTAAGTAAGGATCGGCTAAGTGAAGGCGAGGGATATTTGAAACCCGGTTCTTAATCTGTTGCACTATGTGGGTATGTTCATCGGACCAAGGAACTGGTTTCTTTTTCAATCTATCATGCAAAGGTTTTGCAATACGGTTGATGTTTGGACAAAAATCTAATACATAATTCGGACTTCCTAAGAACCTTTGTAATCGGGTTTTGTCAAGAATCTTATCGGGAAATTTATTTGCAAGCTGTAAAGATCTTTCTATTGGGGTAATGGTTCCTTGGGTAATATCATGACCTAAGAAACGAATCCGAGTTTGGAATAAAGAAATCTTAGATTTAGAAACTACCAAACCATTCTTTTTTGCCACATGAAAGAAAGTTTTGAGATGCTTAAAATGTTGTTCTATAGACATAGAATAAATAAGCACATCATCGATATATATAATGTAGAAATCAGCATACATATGGAAAATATCATTCATAATCTTTTGGAATTCGGAAGGGGCATTTTTTAATTCGAAAGGCATAACTTTCCATTCATACTGCCCAAACGGGATAGTAAAGGCGGTTTTGTATCCGTCACTAGGGGTTATCCGGATTTGCCGAAACCCGACTTCATATTAAATTTGGAAAACACAAATGCATGATTCAATCTTTGCAAAAGGTCTTTTTGTTGGGTATAGGGTACCTAATCCACTTAAGGGCCTTGTTTAATGGTTTGTAATTGATTACCGAGTCTTGGGGTTCCTCGTTCTATCTCAACATTTTTATTGACATAGAAAGCTGCACAAGACCAAGGAGATCCGAATTTTTGGATAAGACCTTTGGTTTCTAAATCTTAAATTTCTAACCTATAATGTTTTTCTAGGTCGGCATTCATCCGAATGGGTCCGGCTTTGGTAGGGATTTGTTTGTCATCAAAACCTATTTCATAGGGTAGGTCAACACTATGATTTTTCCTATTCCGGAAAGCATTTGGCAAATCGAACAAATCTCCTTTTCAATCATGCATTGAAAATCTAAAATTTTCTTTTTAGAAATTCATTCCGTAATTGTCTCTGGATTTTTTATAAAGAAACATCATACTTTAAATGCATTAAATGTCGTTGTTTGCCAGCAATCATAGCATTCAATTCAAAGCTATAAATGGAACATGCTTTAATGATGTTAAGATTCCTAGTTCTAGGTTTCTATAGAAAAGGGAAAATAAGTTTTGTATTTCTATTTTTGAATGATATGCAATCATGCTTCACGGAATATGGAGTAATCAAATTAATGAAGGGTGTTCCTAAGATCACCATATGATGCATATTTTCAACAAGCAAAAAATGATTTTTGATATGAGTAATTCCATTGACCATAGAGGCTTCTATCTTACCATGTATGGTCATTTTGGAATTGTTTGCTATAGAAAGACGTTCATTTGTATGCATATAGAATCATTTTGGAACAATGCTTTGCTTAATATAATTCAAATTAGCACCGGTATCAAACAAGGCAAAAGTATCAATTTTGAAATCATTTTGAAACACAAGAGTAATCTTAATCAAATATTTCCTAGAAGTAACTTCACGAAGTACAAACAGGAAATCTTTTAGAATGTGTTCCGAGTTTTCAAGGTTTGGCAACTCTTGGTCATCATTATGATTTTTAGAGTTAGAGTCCGGCTCTTCGTCCGCTGTTTTTCCAATAGGGTTTTTAAGAGACTAGAGTCTCTGGTTTGTTTTTCTTTGAGCTCTTTAAGCTCTGTTTTGATGACCTTAATCTCGGATCGAAGGTCCTGAATTGTGGTCATATGTTTTTTGATCTTCTTATTCCTATCTAGTATAGCGAGTAAGGTCATACATACTAGTACTAGTAGAAGGCAAGATAGAAGGTTTTGGTTTGTCGCAAGGTTTGTCTTCTACGGACTTTAAGAGTCCGTCTAGGTATTCCTTTTGTAATTGGGGATCCTCAAGTTTTGTAACAATATATAATATGAGGTTTTAGTCGTTGGTTAAGACAACGACTTGTTTTGGTATCTCTCCTATGTCGGGGGCAATGATCATAGGTAATGGTTTTGGCCAATGAAACTTATTAATTTCGGGGACGGATTAC